GAGAGAAATGGAGAGAGAGAGAGAGAGACAGAGAGAGAAAGAGATGAGAGAGAGAGAGAGAGGCTGAGCCAGCTGCTGGTTCAGCTGGTTCTGACTTCCCATCCTGGATGGTAAGTGGTGATTCTGTTCTTCAAGCCTCAGCTTCTCATCTGTAAAATGCAGATCACAGCAACCACCTCACTTTCAATAAGAGAAGGTATAGAAAATGCGAAAGGAAAATGAAAACCCCAATTCACTCTGCCAAAAGTGAACAATTAAGCTGAAAGTGGAGTCATACAAGAAGTTGCCTTTCCTTTGTTCCTAGGCAGAGAGCCACAGATAAAAGGCCACGTATCTCCACGGGGAGCTACTCTGTGTTCACCTCATCTTATGTAAAGTTACAGAGCGTGAGAGGAATACGTAATTGAATACATAATTTCCCTACCTGCTCTTTTTCTCTTGCAATATGTGGATTTCCAGACCTTCCTTCTTTCCCCTCCAGCCTGCTTTCCCCTTTAAATACTAAAAGCCCTCAAAGTCATCTTTAGAGAAAGGCACAGACCTCTCTACTGGGCATGTCCTTAACCTTGGAAAAATGAATGTCTAAACTGATTGAGACCTGTCTCAGACACTTTCTGGTTTACAAAAGCATCAGGAACACAGTAGCTGCTCAATAAACAGTGAGACAGTAAACTGCTCCCCATAAGTGTGTGGGCTCCCCTGGGCACTGTGTTTGTCCCTGGATCCCAGGGCAGGGCTTGGGAGGGCCTCGCTGCCTGTGTTTGCTAGATTCATTTTAATTGTAACTAGTTAGAATGGGGAGGACCTCCTGGGGCCTGTTGATGCCCTTCACTAGGAAGGGCTGTGGAAGCTCAGGGGCTGCCTTGCTCGCTAGAAGCAGGGAGTTCTCTTCTTCCCCTGGCCACTTCCTTTAAAACAGTTTCTTTTGTCTTAAGTTTTCATTTCTACATTTGTCCCTTCGTTCAGTCCCTTCTTCCTTACGGCTCTTGGCTGGAGGAGGATGGTGTGCCAAGGGCCCCAGGAACAGGCCCTATGCCAGGTCTTTTGGCCACAGCTGGTGGCAGAGGCCTCTCCAGAAAGCATTCTGCCCCAGGACACTCAGCTTTCCCTGCAGACCCAGGCCAGTACTGAGGAAGTGAGTGCAGAAGCTTCCCATGGGGAAATGGCCAGGCCTGGGCTCCTGTGGCCCTGAGAGCTTCAGAGAGGGTTAACTTGGTTTGCCCCTGTGACCTTTGCCCCGACACGTGTTTCTTCTTCTCCACGAACAAGAGGATTCCCAGTCCTTGCCTTCACAACATTTGCCAAGAATTGCAGGCAGGAGGAGAATAGCTTCAGTTGAAGAACATGAAGGAATTACCTTCCTAATGCAATACCCCTGCAGAGTGGATACTCACTTTTTTGTGTGTTTGTTTTTGTTTTTGTTTAGGCAGAGTCTTGCTCTGTTGCCCAGGCTGGAGTGCAGTGCCATGATCTTGGCTTGCTGCAACCTCCACCTCCTGGGTTCAAGTGATTCTCATGCCTCAGCCTCCCAAGTAACTGGGATTACAGGTGCGCACCACCATGCCTGGCTCATTTTTGTATTTTTAGTAGAGATGGGGTTTCACCATGTTGGCCAGGCTGGTCTTGAACTCCTGACCTCAAGTGATCCGCCCACCTCAGCCTCCTAAAGTGCTGGGATTACAGGCGTGCTTGCCACTGCACCCAGCTGGGTACTTACTTTATACAGCTGTCCTATGGGGTGGACACTACTATTTATTCCTATTTTACAGATCAAAAAACTAAAGCGCCAAGAGTTAGGATAATGGTTGCTAAAATTTATTTTATTTTATTTTATTTTGTTGCAGACTACCACAATTACTACTTGAGGCTATCACTACAACAGTTATTACTGTTACTACTTGAGACCGTCATTATAGCAGTTACTGCTGTTACTGCCTGAGACTTCATTACAGGACTGAACAAAGGGACGAACGGACGAACGTAGAAATGAAAACTTAAGACAAAAACTGTTTTAAAGGAAGAGACCAGGGGAAGAAGAAGAGAGCTCCCTGCTTCTAGTGAGCAAAGGCAGCCCCTGAGCTTCCACAGCCCCTCCTATTTATTGGGTAGAATGAGCAGGGAGGAGGAGGTAACGACTGGTCAGCTGCTTGATTGATCACAGGTTCATATTGTTACTAACAGGCTTCAGTTATGCCTAATCACAAGAAACACTATGCTTGGGGCATTCCTGACAGCCCTCAGCATTCCTTCTGGGTGGCAGAAACAGTTTGTCAGTTTGCCAACATTCTGCATTTATGAGAAATAGTTTGCTGCTTACTCATATAGCTTCCAGTGGTATATCGAGTTGATCATGACCCTTAGTCTTTCGGCCTCCGCACCTCCAGGCTGGAGTGCAGTGCTACGATCTTGGCTTACTAAACCTCTGTCTCCCCGGTTCAAGCAATTCTCGTGCCTCAGCCTCCTGAGTAGCTGGGATTACAGGTGTGTGCCATCACACCCAGTTAATTTTCGTATTTTTAGTAGAGATGGGGTTTTCATGTGTTGGCCAGGATGGTCTTGAACTCCTGACCTCAAGTGATCTGCCCACCTTGCCCTCCCAAATTGCTGGGATTACAGGTGTGAGTCATCGTGCCCGGCCCTAAATTTTTTTTGTAAATCACGTAACACTCTCAACAATCCTCTGTGTTGAGTATTGCCATTATCCCCATTTTAAAGAAGGGGAAACTGAGGCACAAGGAAGTTAAGTACTTTGCCTAAGATGACAGTGCTAGGAAACAGCAGAGCCAGGATGCACACCTGGGCAGGTTGGCCGAGCCCACTCACTCCCCCACTGCACAGCAGCGGCTCAGCTGTGAGGTCATGGGCCTGGGTCCCAGCGCCACAACTCCAGGACAGCTTGTTAATCACTCTGGGTCTCAGTTTACTCATCTATAAACAGGGAGCATTAGTGGCACTTTCCTTTAGGAATGTCCCAAGGATGACGTGCAACGGTGGGGACAGAGCGCTTGGCAGAGACAGCCTTATGTGTGGGAGTCCCTCAGTGCCCATTCCTCGTTCTTGTCCATGTTCTCCCTGTTTGGGGGGACGTTATCAGAATTTCGCCTGGAAATGTGTTTAGGGTTCACCCTTGCAGAACCAGACCCATGGAAATTCTCAGTCTATGAGAGACCCCAACAGCCATTCTGGAGAGTCAGATAAACTCAGGTTGGACTAAAATCCCACGCCAGCTGTAGACCAGCTTTTAGACAGCTCACTTTCCCTGGTGTTTCCTCATCCCTGAGCTGGAGTTAGTTAGATTTGCCATGCAGGGGCTCTGTGAAGGTTACATGGCTCAAACTCAGCCTGTGATTCTCAAACGAAGGTTTCTGGAGTGGCTGATACCTGAGATGAGTGTTGGGGGCTGGGCAGCACCGGCCTTTGTGGCCAGCAACTCTACCTGGGGTGGGTAATTTACAAACACTGTGTCTGGGAATTGCCCTCATTCTCAGAACCCTCCCTGCCCTTAATTGTCCTGCATCTCCAAGGCTCCCCTTTCTTCCACCTTCCCAGCAGGTTTGACTCATGGGAGGCATAACTGGAAACAGGGGGATAGCAGCAGGCAGAAGCGGGGGCACATCTATCCACCTCTGTCTACTTTTTGTTAGGTCTACAAGGCTGCATCTCCTTAGTGGCTGCAGCTCCCAGCAGACAGCCTTGCCGGGTCCCCATCCTCTGCCTGCTGGTGCCAGCTCTGGGCTCTGCCCTCCCTCTGCCCCTCCGCCCGGAGGGCTGGTGTTGAGTTTCTCCTCTTGCATCACACGGTCCTCTACTTGGCTTCTCAGGTGGGTAACTAAGTCTTCTCATTAAATTCCTTTTATTTTATTATGTTGAGTGAAAGATGTCATTCATTATAGAGTACCTACTCTATGGTTGTATTAATGCAAAGTTCAGGAACAGGAAAGCTCATCTATGGTGATAGAAATCAGAACAGTTGTTGCCTTGGGGAGCAGAGAGGTAACTGGGAAGGAGCCAGAGGGAACTCCCTGAGATGATGCAAATGTTTTATACCTTGATTGAGGAGTTGGTTACATGAGCGTGTATGATTATGAAGACTCGTTAAACCATATGCTTAAAACTGTGCATATTTAACTGTGCGTAAATTATACCTTAATAAAATTAGTTCAATAAGAAGAAATCCCTGTTTAAATACCAAGAGTGCTTTCTAATTTCCTGCTTGGATCCTAATGAAAATACAGTTTTACTTTTTAAACAAACACAGGTAGACCATGGAGGAAGATGTAAAATTTATGTATTTGGTGTTGAGTGTTTTTGGGTTTTTTTTGTTGTTGTTTGTTTGTAAACAGTAAAACATGAGACTTCAAATAATTTCACCCTTGGGTTAGTTGATTTCAGGCTATGCTCCCCAGTCCCTGGGAGGCAGCCTTCATTCTCCCTGCTCTTCTCTGGTCGAAAACACTGGGAAGCACTGGTCTGTATAAAGTGCTAGTGCCTAGCACATAGTAGGTGCTCAAGAAATGTTAATTATTGGCTGGGCGCAGTAGCTCACGCCTGTAATTCCAGCACTTTGGGAGGCCAAGGCGGGCGGATCACTTGAGGTCAGGAGTTCGAGACCAGCCTGACCAACATGGCAAAACCCCCTCTCTACTAAAAATACAAAAAAAAGAGGCCGAGCATGGTGGCACGTGCCTGTAATCCCAGCTACTCAGGAGTCTTGAGGCAGGAGAATCGCTTGAACCCGGGAGGCTGCAGTGAGTCAAGATCGTGCTATTGTACTCCAGCTCCAGTCTGGGCAACAAGAGCAAAACTCCGTCTCAAAAAAAAAAAAAAGTTAATTATTATTAATACGAATTGGGTTTCATGGATCACTTGAAGGCCTGTCTTCTGGCTTTCTTTAAGACCGTGTGATTTCACCTTGTGAGGTTCACAGAGAACTCCACCCCTGAATTCTGCCCCAGATAATGGGAGGGCTTTCTGAGAAAACACAGGCCTGACACACAAGATCACGCATAGGCTTGTATTCAGGAACGAGTTTACAAAACTCCAGAAAAGGCAGCAGGAGATCCAGAATCTCTGTGTGCCTTCCTTCATCCTACCCCCAGAAAAATGGCCAGTCCAGCCCAGCACCTGCTGAAGCCTCAATATTAAGGGAACGCTTGTCCCATCTCTTGCCCAGGGGAAGTTGGAGAGAAAGCTCGCCTGTGTGCATGTTTGATATAAGCGGTGTGTGTAGGCAGGGAATGGGCTAGAGGACCCTGGACACCTTGGCCAGCCTCCTAGGCAGTGAGTTAGAGGAAAGGGGACTAGGTCTTACACCTCCACTGTACCTCGGGGTCCAGGCAGACCGGGCAGGGTGTTAATATTCATGTCCTGCGTGGTGGACCCAAGCTAAAGTGTTGCCTGCAGCCAAAGGCCTGGGCAGGGGCCATCTTCCATCAGCCCAGGGCCCAGGCACAGGGCCACTTGCTGGGAATGGTGGACACCACGTCCCCATTCCCAGCCCTGCTCTAGAAGGCACTATTCCGTGGACTGCGACCCCTGGAGGGCGGGCAGGGCCTGGACAGGCACAGGCGGCGCTGGGTCTCCAGTCGGCAGAAGCGGTTCTGGTTGGTCACCCGGGTGGCCATACCCAGCCCACAGGTGGTCGAGCAGGGTCCCCAGGCCGTGCTCCATTCTGGGCAGGGGACACCAGGGGGCAGGGAAGAGACAAGGCCAGAAAACTGGGGTCCTAGGGGAGAAAAAACAAGAGTTAGCACTGAGCAGCCAGGGCTCAGCAGCTCAGTCAACCCACCCACCAGCGGCCACAGCAATCTTGGTCAAATGGCTCAGCCTTTCTGCATCTCAGTTTCTTCTTATGTAAATTTCCTAACAGTGGATGGCATCAAATAAAATAATGGCCATGAAGTGCCTAGCACAGCGCCTGGTACTTGTAAGATTTCCATAAATATTAGTTATTTGGCAACCAGAGTTTGCTGGTCACGATGGCCCCTCAGTCAACTACAGCTTTCTCATCTCTTTGGATAAACAGCATTTTACAGGCAGAGGGTGCCCAGCCTGTGTGGAGTAGTGCTTTGACCCGGTGGCAAGGATGCTAAAGATTCCAGGATTCTTGTGCCAGGAACCAGATGGCGGGTTTACCACGGTCTAGCTTTTTCTCTGCTCCAAGTCTCCCTCTGTGAATATTTTGGTGTCCTTCTTTCTAGTCTTACACCAGTAGTCCCCAACTAGGGTAATTTTGCCTCCCAGGAAAGGTTCAGCAATATCTGGAGACAGTTTTGGTCATCACATTTGGGGGGATGCTACTGGTGTCTGGTGAGTAGAAGCCAGGGATGCTGCTAAGCACCCCGCAGTGCACGGGAAAGCCCCCCCAACAAATAATTACTTGCCCTGATTGTCGTTAGTGGTGAGGTTAAGAAACCCTGACTTCTGCCCATATGTGTGGGCTGTGTATGCATGTGTACGTGTAGATATACCTGTATACATGCATAGGGACACACTTAGTTGAGATTAAGTTGGAAATACACCTTCTTATCCTGCTTTTATTCGTAAGGCAAACTCACTCGCATTTTCCTATGTATTTAAATGGATATATCATATTCCATCACAGGGATAATAACGGCTACCTCTGATACAGTACCATGTGCCAGGCACTGCTACAGCTGCTTGACTTGAACAAACTCAAGTAGTTCTCACAATGCTATGAAGTGGATGCTCTTATTGTCCCCATTGGACAGCTGGAGAAACTGAGACACAGAGAAGTTAAGCAACTTTCTCAGAGTCACACAGCAAAAAGGGGGTGGCGGGGCTGGTGCAGACACTGTGTACCTGACCCAAAACACTCGACTACCTCTTATGGGTGGCAGCAGCATTTATGAAACCAATCCTCCTCTTTTCAGTTGCCTTTTTTAAAAAGTCACATTCATGTGATAATAATTTTCAAAAAGCAACACAGCAACAGCAAAAATCTCTAAAATTGAAGATGTATAGTGGGATGGTGGGAGGTAACTGTCTATTCTCCATCTCTAGCCTACCCTTGGCCCACATTCCAGAGCAGCCACCTTGCCTGGTTCAGTTTTGAGTTCCTTTTTTAATAAGCCCAAATAATAATAAATTAGTAATATTTTATTAATATGTATCAATATATTATAAATACAGTAACATTATATATTCTAAGAGCTTAGCTCTATTATATCTCTGAAATGTGAGAATTTGGTTCATGTACCCTAATTATCTTTCCTCTCTCCACTCTGTCACTCAGTGTTTATTTTTAATTGTTTATGGTTTTAAATTACACATCTCAAAGGCGGTGGCTTTTTGTTTATCGGTTTTAAAGTGGGAGGCCTGGTGACCCTCCACTCCTCTTTCTTTTCTTCTTCTTTTTGAGACGGAGTTTCATGCTTGTGGGCCAGGCTGGAGTGCAGTGCCCTGATCTGGGCTCACTGCAACCTCTGCCTCCTGGGTTCAAGCGATTCTCCTGCCTCAGCCTCCCAAGTAGCTGGGATTACAGATACCGGCCACCATGCTCGGCTAATTTTTGAATTTTTAGTAGAGACGGGTTTTCCCCATGTTAGCCAGGCTGGTTTCGAACTCCCTACCTCACGTGATCCTCCCACCTCGGCCTCCCAAGGTGCTGGGATTACAGAGGCGAAACACCGCGCCCGGCCCTCCGCTCCTCTTTCTTATCTCCCTCCTCAGCCTCTGCCCCTCCCAGCTTCTGATGTGTCTCTGGGTCCTGGTACCCAGGAAGCCCCGCCCCACCTCACCCCCCAGGTGGCCCTTGGCGCCCCCAGGCAGTCCTGCCCTTGACCTGGACCAGCGCTGCGCTCACCTTGAGCTGGAAGGGGCTGGGCCCCCAGTCCCCCTCCTTGGCCGCACACCCACTCTGGGCAGCACTTGCCAAGGACCTCGACCCTTCTGGGGTAGGGGCAGTCCCAGCTGGGCAGCCGCACGTCCTCGCTGCACAGCGGCACGCAGGTGAAGCCGCCGTCCTCGCAGCGGCAGCGGATGCTGCAGTGGGGCTGGAAGGTCTCCCCCTCCTGATACAGGCGACCGTTCACCTCACAGCTGCCATCGTCCTCTGCCACTGCGGAGGAGAAACCGCACCCCCATCGGTGACCCGCAAAGCGGCACAGCCCTCTCTGCAGAGCTGCCCAGATCCCGCCGCGGGAGGCAGCGGTCTCACAGTAGCTGACCCCTGCCCAGGGCTCCAGCCCAGGATATGCACCTCTCCCCAGTCCTCCACCAGCCTGCTGGGGCACCCTGCATCCTGGCACAGGGATTGCAAGAAGACAGGACTGGACTGACCCCCCAGCTCTGCCCTTTCTTAGCTGTGGACCTGGGCCAAGTGATTTCACTTCTTCTTGCCTCAGTGTCCTCATTTGCAAGGTGGGATATAATGGTACTTATTTTCCAGGGTGGTGGAGACTACTCGGAATGACAGGTGTAATGATCACAACATAAAGGAGATCTTCCATATGTCCTTGCTTATTATCGTTAGTATAGTTACTATATATTAATAACGTTTAAGTATTCTATGCACACTGAGATTTCATGCAACAAAGTCATTGTCCACTTGTGTTGTAGTCATCACTGTCATGTCAGGGCTTAACTTGCCGGCTGTGTGTCTTTGAGTAAGTTACTTAACTTCTCTGAGTGGCCTGAACAACAGCAATGATGAGCTCGGTAACTGTACCTCCAGGTTCCATGGGATGACATGTCCATACCCTCTAGCACACAGTGCTAGGCATGGCCTAAGTGCTCAGGGAACACTCTTTCAATGAAGCCCTCAAGATATGGGCGTTATTGCCGCTTCCTCCACTGGACATGAACTCCTTGAGGGCTGGGGCTGCCAGTGTGCATCTCTGCACCCCTCTGATGGGCTCAGAGCCTAGGTGTAACACACAGCACTGCAGGAAATGCCCCTTGAATGAATAGCTGGCATAAGGCTTGGCACATGAGAGACACTGATAAAATAGCCCTACTCCTTATCATTCCAGAGGTATTTACTGTTTCCCTCCTGTGTGCCAACCACTGTGCTCCTAGACAGAAAGAGGACAGTTCCTGCCTCGAGGGACTTACGAGCTTGGGGAGGGGGGACAGGTGTGAGGGCATCATCTCCAAGACAGAATGAAGTAAGAGCGCGGGAGAGGCATGTGAGCCGCTCAGGAAGTGCAGATGGGGAACAGCGTGTGTGTGAGACCTGGGTGACCACTGAGCTATGTCTGGGGAAAGGACTCATTAGCAAACAGGTTCTCCCAGATCTTCCGAGAAAACCTTCCAGTAGGTCTATACACACACAGGGGTTTCAGAACCACACATGCTCAGGTTCCAACTCTGGCTCCCACTTGTGGGGCCTGGGGCAAGTTATTTTGCCTCTCTGAGCCTTGGTACCCGGCTCACAGGGCTGCTGGGGGATTAGATGAACTAGGGGACTTACAGCATTTTGCCCCAAGCCTGGCACATAGCAGATGCTCAATAAATGGGAGTGGGTTATGCTTCCACATAGCATCTGTTATGTACCAGGCTTGGGGCAAAATGCTGTAAGTCCCCTGGTTCATCTAATCCTCCAGCAGGAAAGACCTCACTGAGAAATAATGCTGGTGGAGGGAACAGCCAGTGCAAAGGCCCTGAGGCAGGAGTGTGCCTGGGGTATTTAAGGAACAGCAAGGGGCCAATGAGACTGCAGCAGACAGCAGGAGGAGATGAGGTCAGAGAGGAAGCAGGAGCAAGATCCTGTGGGGCCTTGTAGGCCACTGTGGGGACTTTGGCTTTTCCTCTGAGATGGGAAACCACCAGAAGGCTTGGGGCAGAGGAGGGAGGTGATCTGGCTTATGACTTCCCAGGAGCTCTCTGCTGTGTTGTGAATAGACCAGGGGCAAGGAGAAAAGGAGGGAGACGATTATGGGGCTACTGCAAAATCCAGGCCAATGATGACGGGGCTCAGACAAGGGTGGTAGCCACAGAAGGGACGGGAGTGTCGGATGCTGGAAATACCATGATGAATTTGCTGGTGGATGGTATGTGGGAGGTGAGAAAAGAGAGACGTCTAGGCTGGCTGTGGTGGTTCACGCCTGTAATCCCAGCACTTAGGGAGGTTGAGGCGGGTGAATCACTTGAGGTGGGGAGTTCCAGACCAGCCTGGCCAACATGGCAAAAACCCATCTCTACTAAAAATACAAAAATCAGCTGGGCATGGTGGCAGGAGTCTGTAATCTCAGCTACTTGGGAGGCTGAGGCATGAGAATCGCTTGAACGCAAGAGGTGGGGGTTACAGTGAGCCAAGATCATGCCACTGCACACTGGGTGAAAGAGTGAGACTCCATCTCAAAAAGAGAGAGAGAGAGAGACATCTAGAATGACTCCAAGGTCTTGAGCCTGAGCCATGAGAAGCATGGAGATGCTTTCAACAGACGGGGGAGACCGATCTGGGGGGCAGGAGATGAGGATCCCGGCATTGGATGTGCTGTTACACGATGGTGAATCTGTAGCGCATCTCGCAGCTCAGAGTTGGCCCTTACAGAAGGGCGTTCAATGAGTGATAGGAGAGGTTTTTGGCAGCGTGTTCCCTGCAAAGCCCCAGACTGAGCCTTTGTGATGTGTTAGCTGGACTCTTTGGGGTTCACCAGTTCCCGGTGAACTTTAAATCAGTTTAAATCATTAAGCACTTATGAGCACCCACCATGCTGACAGACTAAGGTGGGGAGTTGCAGGAAGGACCAGGGACCCAAGTACGCTTTGGCCTGCGGTGTTTGAAGTCTGAATTAAGATGGAATACGAAAAATCCCTTAATACACTTATCGACAATCACAGCCTATGTACTATTCAACAGCTGCGTGTCAGGCAGTTGAGCAATGGAGTTTGTGGAGTCAGCTCCCTGAGTTCAAATCTCAGCTCTGCCAGTTATGAGCTTTGTGACCTTGGGCAAGTTGCCTAGCTTCTCTATACCTCTTTTTTCCATTTATAACAGAAGGGTGGGCCAGGCGCAGTGGCTCACACCTATAATCCCAGCACTTTGGGAGGTCGAGGCGGGCAGATTACCTGAGGTTAGGAGTTTGAAACCAGCCTGACCAACATGGAGAAACCCTGTCTCTACTAAAAATACAAAATTAGCCGGGCTTGGTGGCACATGCCTGTAATCCCAGCTACTAGGGAGGCTGAGGCAGGAGAATCGCTTGAACCTGGGAGGCGGAGGTTGCGGTGAGCGGAGATCTTGCCACAGCACTCCAGCCTGGGCAACAAGAGCGAAACCCCGTCTCAGGAAAAAAAAAAAAAAAGAGAGAGAGAGAAGGGTGACATTAGTACCTACCTCGTGTGGTTGTGAGATTAAATGAGTTTATATTTGCGAAACCCTCAGTGTCTTACACATGGTAAGGGCTTGTGCAAGTGTAAAATAAACTCTGTGGGTGCTGTTTACACGTGTCACGGCAAATGTAAATAACAGCTTTGTAAGCAAAGTGGTATTTATCTCAATTGTTCTTCAGATACATTTTCAAAAGCAATCATCCCTCAGTCTGTGTAACAAATCACCCTCCTTATCCTTACAATATTTGTAAATAAAGCATTTCACATGGAGTTATTACTTTTTTTTTTTTTTTTTGAGATAGGGTTTGGTCTGTCGCCCAGGCTCAAGCGAGCCTCTCGCCTCAGCCTCTCAAGTAGCTACAGGCACGTGCCACCACACCTGGCTAATTTTTTTTTTTTTTTTTTTTGCAGAGATAGGATCTCAGTATGTTGCCAAGGCTGGCCTAGAACTCCTGGGCTCAAGTGGTCCTCCCACCTCAGTCTCCCAAAGTGATAGGATTATAGGCATGAACCACTGTGCCTGGCCTGCTGTTTTTTGACAATGCTTTTCCTATAAATAGATTAATTGTCAATAATTCATGAACTTCTCTCTCTCTCTCTCTCGTTCTTATTTTTATAAAAGTGTGACATGCACATGAATGAAAGAGGTAAATTGTTCCACAAGGCTTATTATTTAAAAAGAGAGAAGAAGAACAATCTCTTGCCTCTTTGCATTTCTCTAAAGTGATGGTTCCCGACTGGAGATTTTGCCCCCTGGGGAAATTTGGCACTGTCTGAAGACAGACTGTCATGACGTGGGGGATGGGGAATGCTCCTGGTATACAGTGGGTGGAGTTCAGGGATGCTGCTAGAAGTCTTACCATGCACAGGACAGCCCTCCCAAGACAACGAATTCTCTGGCACCAAGTCACTAGAGTCAGCTTGCAAAGCCTGCCCCAAAGCATCAGAGGACACCAAGGCCTAGAAGAGTGGTGAGGAAAGTCACCTGCTCGGGTGACTGGTGAGTACATAGCAAACCCAGGATGCCAGCAGTGCTCCGAGGGCCCCCACTCTGACAGAAGACAGAATGAAATGTTCCTTAGAGCCTGTTGGATCCAGTCCCATGCCGTGTGACATGAAGCATGTCCCTTAATGCTGGTGAACCTCAGTTTCCTCATTCATAAAATGGGTCTGAAAGTACTTCCCATCGTAGGGTTATTGTGAGGATGATGTGACGTGTGTAGTAAGTGCTTAGCACAGTTCTGGACACATATTATGCCCTAAATAAGAGGTTGCACTTTTATTTTCCTCAAAGTGTTGTAAGGATCCTGAGAAGGTTATGGTGGCATCCGGTTTGAAGAATCTGGGAGGGCTTCTCAGGGGAGAAGCTGTTTGAACCTGGCTTTGAAAGTTGGCAATGATTTGGACAGGTAGGGATGGGGGAAGGTTACTGGGGTAGTAAGATGATTTAAGCAGGGGCCAAGAAGGGAGAGGAGGGAGTACGGAATGGGCTTTGGGCCACCAAGTTCAGCTGGAATGGGTGGGGTACCTGAAGTGAGCCTCCAAGGAGATAGAGGAGAACTGCACTTTGATTCAGAACACCACAGCCTTGACCTCCCGCTCACACACTCCCCCCCTCAGTCCTGCAAACCTGCTTACAGAGGCACAGGGCCCCCCGGCCACCGGGTCCTGCCCCGGGCTGGCAGACCAGGCCCTGGCTGGCGTCGCAGACGTGGAGTTGGTCGCAGGGCTCCCCCAGCCGCCGTGCACATACCCGGCAGCAGCCACAGCCATCCAGCACCAGGGCTACTCCCAGTGGGCATCGGGGAGGTGGCCAGGGGCAGGTACATGGTGTCGGGCACAGCTGGGTACACACCTGAAGAGACAGAGACTTCACTCAGCCATGGGCTTTCAAGGTGGGCAGTGAGACCCTCACAACCGGCCACCTCTGCCAGGCTGGGCAGTGTGGGGTCCACACCTTAGCCTCAGAGCCATGCAGACCTGGCCTCGAAGGCCAGTAGTCCCACAACATGCCCTAAGAGGCAGTATGGCATGTGGTTACGGGCAAGGACTCTGGGCTAGAGTTCCAGTTCTTTACTTTTTATTTTTATTTTTGGAGTCAAGAGTCTTGCTCTGTCGCCCAGGCTGGAGTGCAGTGGCACAATCCCAGCCTCACTGCAACCTCCATCTCCTGGGTTCAAGCGACTCTTATGCCTCAGCCTCTCAAGTGGCTGGGACTACACGCACCCACCACCATGCCCAGCAATTTTTGTATTTTTAGTAGAGATCTGGTTTCACCATGTTACCCAGGCTAGTCTTGAAATCCTGAGCTCGGGCAATCCACCTGCCTCGGCCTCCCAAAGTGCTGGGATTACAGGCATGAGCCACTGCACCTGGTTAGACTTCCAGTTCTAATTCTGCCCCTTATTAGCTGAGTGACCTTGAGGAAGTTACTTAAGCTCTCTGAGCCTCAGTTTCCTCGAAGTATCTAACTCAGAGGATCACTCTGAGGAGTACGTGAAATGTTGCACAGCAAACCCTCAGCACAGGGCCTGGCATGCAGTAGGCGCTCAGTGCACTTAGCTTTGATGATCATTGTTGTTAATGACGGCAGAGGGCTCAGCCCCTGCCCTCTGGGAGCTTACAGAAAGGCAAAAGCAACAAGCCAAGGATGAAAACGGCAGGGGCTGGTACATTTTCCAGCATATGGCTGCTTATCTTAGGATGAATACATCGAACCGTATCGTGGATGTTTTTGGCCTTTTGATTCATCCAGCAAGCTTCCCAGCTCTGGATGCGCACCACATCAGCCAGGAGACGGGAAAGTACAGACCCCCCACCCACTCTGCGGCTTACGAAATCAGAAGTCCCTGACTCTGGGACCTGGAATCGTTATTTTTAACAAGCTGTCCAGTGGCTTCTGCAGCTCAGCTAGGTTTTCAGCGCCTCTGCCCCAGTCTAACCTCCTCCCCCTGCCAGGTACAGATGGGGAAACGGAGCTCCAGAGAGGGACAGGGACTTGCCACAAGTCAGTGTGTTCGATTCAGGGCTGGGAGCGTCCCAGGTCCTGCTTCCCAAGTGAGGACTCAGGGTCACGGGGTGGGGGTAGACTGTGTCCGTAAGCCAGGGACCCACTCCCCAGTGACAGGGTCAGCCCATGTGACCTGCCTGCCCCTCACCACCCACATCAGAAAAACAACCACAACATACAGCAGGTGCCGTGGGCTCCCTGTCCATCCATTTGAAGGTGGGGACTAAGAAGGAAGCATAATTCAAGATGCTTCCAGTGGCCCCATCTGTGGGGGGCCAAGTTTGAGTCTACTAGGTTCCTTAGGGGATGAGGGTTTTATCTAGAGGAAGGGAGACTTGCAGTTTACACTGATGGGGCTAATGACCTTATATCTCCTGTGCAGCCCCAAAGCAGGCAATGACCCCTTTGCCCTGCCTTACCCCCTGCCCCGCCCAGTGCTCCCCCACCCACAATCCTGCAAACCTGCTTTCAGTTCCTGGCAACTCCCACACTGGCCACTAGGAGCCATTGCAAACTGGCTGACCGGCCTCTGGTGGGGGCCACAAAGTAGGAGGCGATCACAGCCCCCACTAAGACAGCACTGAGTAGCAGATGAACGCATGGAGCTAGGTGTCTGGCTGCCTCATAAGGGAGCGGGTCCCATCGATGCAGGCTGTTCAGATTCTAGAGACGATGGCCTGACCTCGCCCCTCAGGGTGTGGTCTGAACCAGCAGCAGCAGCATCACCTGGGAGCTTGTTAGAGAGGCAGCGTCTGGAGCCCCTCTATAAATCCAAAGCCGGATTTTTATATAACAAATCTGAATCTGCATTTTCTTTTTTTTCTTTTCCTTTTTTTTTTTTTTTTTTTTTTTGAGATGGAGTCTTGCTTTGTCACCCAGGCTGGAGTGCAGTGGCACGATCTTGGCTCACTGCAACCTTCGCCTCCCAGGTTCAAGCAATTCTTCTGCCTCAGCCTCCGGAGTAGCTGGGATTACAGGCGCCCGCCACCACACTCAGCTAATTTTTTGTATTTTTAGTACAGGCGGGGTTTCACCATGCTGGCCAGGCTGGTCTCAAACTCCTGACCTCGTGATCCGCCCACCTTGGCCTCCCAAAGTGCTGGGATTACAGGCATGAGCCACCACGCCCGCCCTGAATCTGCATTTTCATAAATCCACAAGTGATTCACATAGAAACAGTCTGGGCTTTTGGGTTCCCTTCTAAGTCAGAGGTTCAGCTGCCTTGGCTTGTGGGCAATGGAGGGAAGACTGTGAGGAGTGACTCTCAGGTCCCTCCCACCTGAAAACAGGAGTGCCAGGAAATAGACCAGCAGCTGTGCACCCAGGCTCCCACTGTGGACCCCTCTACTGGCCATGTTTGTCAGGGGGCAGGACTCTGTAGGCCCCAATACCCAGGAGAGGCTATTAATGACATCAGCTATTCTAGTGTACAATTATCCCACGTGATACCATATGTATGTCATGTGCCAAGTGCCATTGTCTCATTTACCCCTCCAATGTGAGGTGCCATCGTTACGCCCATTTTAAAGATGAGAAAACTGGAGCTCAAAGCGTGTAGTAACACAGCCAGTAAGAGACAGAATCAGGATTGACATCCAAGTTCAGGTTGACATCCAAGGCCCAAACTCAAGTTGTCCCATTGTGCCTCAGTTTCCCCAGGGCCTTGCTGTGATATCTGGGGGTTGGGGAGGGGGCAAGGCTTATGATATCTGGGGCAGGAGCACTGGGCATGGAATTTTTTGGGCAAGAGTTGAGATTCAAGTTCTGCCACTGACTTGCTACGTGACCGAACACGTGGACGAACGGCTTTGGAAGGTGGAGGTGAAGCTCAGTTTTCTCCTCTGTAAAGCGGAGTAGAGAACACCTGTTTCTGAGTGATGGTGGAGATTAAATGAGGTCCTGGACAGTCCTTGATGGATGTGGTTTTGCTTGTGTCCAGGTGTCTGCCTCCTGTCCCGGTCCACAGCCGGGAGCCCCGGAGCCAACGGCCAGCCTGGAGGACTCAGAGTTCTCCCTGTGAGGGTTGCTGTGACTTTCCATGTCGTGGTGACTAAGTCCCTCTGTTTCTGTGCAGTCCCTGCTTCCTAGGACCAGGGAAGAATGGCCCTGTAAGTCTCACCCTAATGGCAAGTCTAGGACAGCTTTACTTTGTTCTGTCATAATCCTGGACCCCTTCTCCCTCCTAGAGCCCCAAGTGCCCTATTCCAACTACCCAAGCCACCCACATTGGCATCATGTCCTACCCATCCCCTTTGGAAGAACAAACAGCAGGGCAGGATGCCAGTGTGGTTCTCAGCCTTCCCGGGCACCAAGACTTGGGGCCTGAGGGAGAGAAGCTCCTGCCCATGCTTCTCAAAGAAGCGTGAAAATACAGTGAGATCGTGGCTTGTCGTGGGGCCGATTCCATGGTTCTGAGAACTCAGCATTTGCCGAGGGGATGACAAGGCTTAGCAGCTGTTGCCTTGGTCCAGTTTGGGCTTGGGGAGGCACAGACTGGAGTGCCTCTCCCCCTACATCTATGTCTGTTCTGGACTCCGCCATGGCCCTTCTCTATTGCTCTGACCTTTTTTTGCTGTGTGACTTTAAGCAAGTTGCTTACCCTTTCTGAGCCTCACTTGACTGAAAACTGGGGTTGCAAGTTGCTTACCCTTTCTGAGCCTCACTTAACTGAAAATTCCTTATGGGGTTGTTGTGCATGTTAGACGAGGTAGATGTCCCATAAGCTCTTTGGTGAATGTCCCATGCAGCATTTGGGGAGAAGGCCATTACTCCACAGAGGTGTCTCCTGTCTCCCTCTAGCTAGGGCAGGCGGGTCACTCACTGCCTAAGAGTCCAACGGCATTGATGCCCTTGCAGAATAAACCTTCCAATCAGCTAGGTATCCATCCAAATTCTGGCTCAGAGTTAGGCCAAGCATGTCATGTCTTGAGTACCCCCATTCATAATGAAGGTACATTAAAGTCCTCTTTAATTTGCCTGGTAAGTTTGATGAATGATCATGAATGGCCTTCACAGAGGCCTCACAAACTGTATACCCTTCACCTGGGAAGATGCTGAGGCCCAGAGAAGGCAAGGCATGTGTCTGAGGTCACAGAGCAGGGCTGGCCGGAGGCAGCTCTGAGTGCCAGGGAGAGAAGCCCTGCTTAGGCATGGTGGCCAGACTGTGCCCAATGTGGGGCCCTGGAGGAATTCTGCCAAGGGGGTCCTTGGCTGTGATTTTTACATCCCCATCCCCTCCACACCCAAGTAGTCAGCAGTGCATTCAAGGGCCCGGGCCTCCTTACCTTTGAGAGGAGGCAGAGGAGGGAGAAGGCCAGAAGGTGGGTCTTCAGTGTGCCTCTCATGTCCCCCGCAGAGCCAGCTTTGAGCCTGGGAGGCGGACCTGTGAGTCTTTATGTTCCGGCAGCTGTGAGGTCACTCCCAGGCACACACAGGCGCACACACACACACACACACACACACACACACAAGCTTTTTCATTCCTTGCTTCGCTTCCCATCCTCATGGCCCAAAGGATGAGCCCATTTACCTGAAGGTGAAACTGTGAAGGCCACCAAGGGGGTGCCTGTCCATGTGCGTGTGTGTGTGTGTGTGCGTGTGTGTGTGTGTGTGAAAGCCCGAGCCAGTGCCAGCACCAAGAGCCTGTGACAGCTTGCAGGGGCCTCCCTATCTCCTCCCATCCCAAGAGGGTCCTAGCCCTGCTGTAGTTGTGAAGCCCTATCCCAGACCTCTGTCCGAACCCCAGTGGTGCTGCAGATACCGGAAGCATTCTGTAAACACCCCCTTTGCAGAGCTGACCCAAGGTCTCCTAAGCTCCGTGGCCCTGACTCTGGGTAGCCGCGGCCCAGCCTGCGGTTTCTGGCAGGCAGATTGGCAGCCACCCAGAGGCGGGTGTGACCCAGAGCAAAACTTCCCTGGGCGGCCTGTTTGCTCTTGGCAATAAGGGACCTCCCTTGGCCTGCCTCCCAGCTCTGGAAGGGGGCCCGTGGTGGGCGAGTCCGGGCAGGCTGGACCTACTGTGTGCCGGTGCTTGCTGGGCACTGCTAGATGAGGGGGTCGAGCCAAATCCATTTGGTTTCATTCAGCCACCCCTGAAGTCACCTCTGCAGGAGCTGAAGGCACAACACTGACCTGAGGACTAAGCCCAGAGAGGGAGAAAACAGAGGGAAAGCAGGTGGAAGTTCAGGAATACCAGGCAAGGTCTTTTGCTCAGACCAAGAGTGAGGGACGCTTTCTGATGGAGGTGCCATTTCAGAAAGCCAAGAAAAGAGAGGGTGAGAAAGGGCAGAATGTTCCAGGCCAAGGGAACAGCACGTACCAACGCCTAGATGTCGGACATAGCATGATAGCCTGCTTATTCTGGGAGCCAAAGTGCCTGGTATGAGCAGAGTCTTCTGTGCAATGGGACATGGTGATGTCTGTGAAGGGTGAGACACACAAGTTCACACCACCAAGATTTGGGGACATCAACGATGTCCCAGCCATGAGGGCAGGGGATGAAAAGACATGGGCTTTGTTTGTAGAATTTGGCAAAGATAAAAGAGGTGATGTCAAGGGCTGTCTGGGCCTCCGTTACCTCCACCAGTAGTAGTCCAAACCTCAAAGTGATCTAGCTGGACAGCAGAGGTTCCAGAATGGGTAATCGGTGAGGAAGAAGTGTGACTTGATATAGTGGCAAGACGGGGATTGTGAGCGTGGAGGCGATTCCCCCCACGGCTGCTGTCCTATTAGAAGAGGCAATGGAAACAGAAGTTGAAGATGAAAATGTGGGATTTGATTATTTATGGCAAGAAGAGGTGGCCAGGGTGGAGATGGGGGTCCAGAAACTTGGAGGAAAAGAAACAGAAGAGGTCTTTTTTATTTTGTTTTATTTTGGGATTCTTGTGGAAATGCTGATGTTTTAGTCAGAAGCATGCCTAGAGTACTTTACATACACAGTGGATCATTTTTAACACCCCTCTTCCTTCATACTACAAAATTATTTTCAGTAATAATCATGAAATGAAACAAATATTTTTCATGTATGAATTAAAATTTGTACTTACCAAACAAAATAATTACCATTCACAGTTCACACTGTTTTACTCTTTTAAAAACTGTAATACAAATCAAAACTCCAAGTAGTTTCGTAAAATGACAAAATTGAAATACTCTTATTGTCATCTTTACCATCACTCCGCGCTCATTGTTGATTTCACTCTACTGTTTAAATGCAAAAATACAGCCGGGCCAGTGGCTCATGTCTGTAATTTGGGAGGCCAAAGTGAGAGAATCACCTGAGGTCAGGAGTTCAAGACCAGCCTGGCCAACATGGTGAAACCCATCCCTACTAAAAAAATACAAAAATTAGTCAGACGTGGTGGGTGCACACCTATAGTCCCAGGTACTCGGGAGGCTGAGGCAGGAGAATTGCTTGAACCTGGGAGGTGGAGGTGTCAGTGAACCGACATCTTGCCACTGCACTCCAGCCTGGGCGACAGAGAGAGACTCTGTCACACACACAAAATAATAATAAAAATAAATGCAGAAATATCAATGCTGGACGGTGGAGACAGGAATGCATTCAAAGCAAGCTTGGAAGATTCCAGAGTTGCGAGGAGCTTACTGTCAACTCATGTGTGTTCCTGAGACCACATGCGCTGGGGGCAACTATATTTCTTAAAGTTCTCCAAGTTGACTTCCATGTAGAATATGTTTATTAAAGGATAAGAATGAAAATGTGCTGATTTGAAGCTTACATATGCATTATTAAACTCTAACAGTTACTATACCAATTGTTAGAACTTAGATGAATAAAGGATATTTTCAGGACAAAGTATTTTACCACTGAAATTATTTAGACCTGCCATTGCACAGTGATCATAAAAGCAGACTGACTTCTCATCAGTTTTATATTATCTTTAAATTCTGTAGGCCCCCCACCCCTTATTGCCTGTACCCAGAGAAGGTCACTCCCACCTTCCTGTCCTCCCTAGGCCACTGATATTAATAACAATAAAAGCGATTGTGCGTAGCACCCAGCAAGATCCAGCCCTTGTGCTAAGTACTGTTTATAAAAAGCAACATTTCTAATCCTCACAATCCACATCTCAATGAAAAAAAGTGAGGTTCAGAGAGGTTAAGTAACTTGCCTAAAGCTACACAGCTAGAAAACAGAGCCAGGTTTTCAGTGCAGGTCCACATGACTCCAACGCCTAAGTTTCGGTTTTTGCTGCTGTCGTTTATTTCTGCTACTGCCCATAGAGCTATCTGTGATATGTTTCTAAAGTTGAGGGGTAATGTATATACGGAAAAGTGCTTAAAGTGCACTAATATTAAGTGTAGGACTTGACAACTCTTTCTTTTTTTTTTTTTTGAGACAAGGTCTGGCTCTGTCTTCCGGGCTAGAGTGCAATGGCATGAACATAGTGCACTGCAGCCTCAGCCTCCTGGGTTCAAGGGATCCTCCCTCTTCAGCCTTCTGAGTAGCTGGTGGCATGAGGCAGCATGTCTGGCTAATTTTGACTCTTGACATATCTATGTACATGACTATGTATATACCCATGTGATCATCAGGTCAAGCTACACTTCCAGAAGGTTCCTTATGCCCCTTCCAAGACTTTACCCTCTGTTCCCCAGGTACCCACTATTCTGATCTCTGTGACCACAGATTAGTTGTTCCTGAGAGGAACAGTTTTAAGCCACCTCTATCTCTGAGGCAAGAAGGAAGACGGGAGAAATGAGGAGGTGTGAGGAAGAGAGTTGGAGGGAGACACGCTGGTCTGACATGTCCATAGCAGAGGAAGGAGACCCTGATGATGAGGAGGTGAGGCAGGGCATGGGTGTCGCGGATGGTGAAAAAGGCAGGGCTCCACGGGGCAGGGAGGTGGCAAGAACGGGGCAGAATGCTATGCCCACCTAGAGCCCTCTGAATCAGAGCATGGATTTTTCTTGGAATTTTTTCTCTCTGATAACTGAGGATAGGAAAGTGTAGGCAGTAGGGGCCCTGGGCCATGGCCAGATCAGGAAGCAGGCATCATTGTCAAGGGTGTTTGGTGATGAAGTGTGAGGGATGGAGCTTGCACACACAGTTCAGCGTGAGTGGGTGCGGCAGGAGCAGTGGGTGTGGCAGGAGCGGTGGGTGTGGCAGGAGCGGTGGGTGTGGCAGGAGCGGTGGGAGCTACCACTTTGCTGATTGGTTTGCTGCGATTCAGCCCTCCCTCCAAACTGTCCAGCTTTGGCACCAGAGGGATATGGGTGTCCAGGGAACCCAGGAGTCTTTTGGTTGCAGCCACAGTCCCCACACAAGGGCCCAGGGTAAGTGTGGCTGCCCTTTGCTTTCCCAGGAGGAAACACAAGCTCAGAAGTCAACGGGTTCGAGCTTCAAATCCCTTCTCCCTACATCGACTTACAGGGCTGGGACCAGGGTGAGGTGACAGAGGCATGTCAGATGCAACATTTAGGGAGGCTCTCATTCTCAGCAGTTGACCTTGCACTTCCACAACCCCAAGAGTGAGCGCCTCGTTCAGAGTGAGGCACCCAGGTCACACAGCAGTTCGTGGTAGGAACTCCGTCAATGTTGGTTGATGGCTAAATGGTGATTTCGTAGGACTGTGCTGAGATCACAAACTAATGCCCACATCTCAGTGGCTTAACCCAGTGAAGCTTATTTCTTGCTCATGAATAGTCCAAAGTGGGCCAGGCACATCCTGTAGCTCCTCCCTACTCAAGCGTGTGGTCCAAGGACCGATGGCATCAGCATCAGCCAGTTGCATGTTGGAAATGCAGACTCCCAGGCCCCACTATCAGAATCTTCATTTTAATAAGACCCCCAGGTGATTTGCATGCACATTACAGTTTGTGAATCCCTGTTCTAGACCAGTGGCCTCCAAGGTCACCTTGGCAGGGAAAAAGAGGGATAGAGAAGCCACATCATCAGTTCTACTCACATCTCATTAGCCAGAGCTAGCCACATGGCCCCAGCTGCAAGGGAGGCGGGGAAATACCATCATCCTGTGTGTATCTATGAAGGAGAACCAGAGTGAGGGACAGCTAGGTAATATTCTTTGCCGTAGGTACCTTGGCATCTGGGACACACACTTTTGCTTCTCTGGGTCTCAGTTTCTCCATCTGTTAAAAAAAATAAAAATAAAAGTGGCCTACATGTTCTTCCAGGCCTGAGCCAGAATGAACATTTTTAGCGGCTAAGAAATGCATCTGGCCGGGCATGGTGGCTCACACCTGTCATCCCAGCACTTTGGGAGGCCAGGCAGGTGGATCACTTGAGGTCAGGAGTTCGTGCCAAGCCTGGCCAACATGGCAAAACCCCATCTCTACTAAAAATACAAAAATTAGCTAGGTGTGGTGGCCTGTGTCTGTAATTTCAGCTACTCAGGAGGCTGAGGCAGGAGAATTGCTTGAAACCCGGTGGCGGAGAATACAGTGAACCGAGATCACACCACTGCACTCCAGCCTGGGCCACAGAGCAAGACTCCATCTCAAAAAAATAAGAAAAAATGCACCTGAAAAGTGAAACTTATGAAACATCACCATCAAGGCACAGCATATGGAAGCCACAAGTAAATATCTGCAGTTGAAAGGGTGAAGCCAGTCTCAGCCCTTTGCAGTTTGTCAGCTCCCAAGGTGTGTGCCCGCCTTCCCGCTTACAGCCTCTACCCCATGCCAAGTCCCAAGCTGACGCTGGGGAGGTGGAGCTCACAGGTATGACATTAGGTAGGGGGGACAGAGAAAGCCAAAACAGATCCTGACCCCAGCAGGGCTGGAAGTGAGGAGGGCAGTGCTCCAGTGGCTGGATGTACCAGGGTGTGAGCAGACACCTGTACCATGGCAAGGTCAACAGTCAG